CTTTAGACTTCATTTAATGCGTATATAAGTATCAACTTCGACTTATTAAGAGATTAAGTGCGCGTATAATAGTCTTTTGCATATTCCTAATTGACTAAAAGAGGCGAGCAGTTTATTTAAATGAGTATTAAAATGTATAAATATTAAAGTGCATGAGTATGCGGAAACCTCGGATTTTATCTGAGTGGCCTTGTCAAGGTGATACTTGAAACAGGCACGACTCGAAACGAGAAACTGAGAGGTAAAAAATGAGGAGCTCATATTGACAATAATACTAAATAGTAGAATATAACGTTAAACTGTAAATAGTAGCAGGCAAATAAACTCTAAAATATTTTTAAGTACAAAACATTTAACATGTATCTATTGACGCATGTACAATGTACATAAATAAATTGCATACGTTAATTACAAAGAACTAAAAACTATTAAACAATGTCCCTTTCAAACTGGAGTTGATGTCGATAAGCCTTGCTGTCCACTCAAGCCCATTCGATGTCCATCCACTTTTAGCTCACAAATAAACTATCACTTTATCCGTTCTATCAATTTTTATCTGTGAACATTAATTGCCATGATCAACCGTAGATTCACGTCCAACGAAGGAAATATGCGAGTATTTCTTTGAGATATGAACAAGATTTTACTAACCGGTATATGCAATGTTTAAGTAACAATTTATCTATTATAGCCTCGATCACCGACGTAGGGTTGCCAGCCTTTGTGTATTCTATAGGTTACATTTCGGAGAGTGTGCGCAGGAACTACACGGCTTGATTCCTCCATCTCCTTTCTACCATCGGACAACCCGACGAACGGCTGGTCTCCATCCTTATGTCGTGGACATTCCACCCGTCCGGACGAAGCGCTTCGCTACGTCATTATACGCATACGTGCGGCTAAGGATTGGAACAACCTGCCGGCGTCGGTGTTTCCGTCCGAGTACAACATGGGTGTCTTCAAGGCAAGAGTGAATAGGTGGCTACTGAATTAGTGTGACTTACCATCTACGACTGCGTTACCACTTACCATCAGGTGGAACGCAGTCAAGCACTAATTCAGAATACAATAAAAAAAAAAAAAAAAAAAATACTAAGTACTAATATTAAAAATATAAAGTTGACTGAATTAAGCATATTTACTAAAATATCTTTAGTCTAACTCCCTAAATATAAGTATAATTAAACTAAAATGACGTTAATGTTGATGAAATTGCTCATTTATAAAAAACAGTCAGCGTGTAGTTTTCCTTGTAATTTTTGTCCTCGCTACAAATCGACGTTATATATTATGATAATATTTCGTTATCGGCACATTAGTTCATTCGAATCCTTCGCGGCAAAGTCTTAATTTTGTGAATAAATTAATTACATATATGTATATTCCGATGTTCATTAGGCTGTTAAGCAAGAAGACGCTAAGATTCTGTAAACAGTGTGTGGCAACCGGCGGCGAAACCAGTTGCACTAAACACACAATTTAAATGCAACTAGAACATCTATTTGATTAAATAATGCCGAGCGACTTTTGCTTTATATTATGATAGCGAAACTAACGTTCAATTAAATGACATAAATTAGCAAAATAATTAAAATACTAGTGACTCACTCTCGCTTCGCTCGGGTTCGTCCCAAGGTAATAAACGGTTAATATGGAATAGGTATTAGGTAGACTATATATATATATATATATATATATATATATATATATATATATATATATATATATATATATATATATATTATACGTGTATATACATAGAAATGATGAAATGTTGTAGGTTGTATTAAAACGTGTTTTCCCGTGAGAATGAGATAATCGCTCGCGGTAAAAAGTAGCATATGTCACTCTCCAGCCCTCCAACTATCAAATAAAATGGCGCCAATTTGGCAGTCTGTTTTGACGTGAAAGAAGGACAAGCAAACAAAAATGAAACAAACAAACAACACACACAAGCCCTTTCACATTTATAATATTAATGTATGGATATTTATAGAGACAATTTTCATGTAAAGTACAAAAGAAAAAATGAGTAGGTATTTTAGAACAGTACGCAAAGCAAAACTATAATAATTTTGGCTGTTGCGTTGTATAAGAGCTAGGCTACCCTAACTTTTGTTAGCGTAACACTAAATAAAAGCGCATTCACCTTTTACAGACATTCAACAAAAGATACTCCAGAGAGATATATAGTATAAAAAGTAAAGCAACAGGCGGAGACTGGCAACACTGCTATTGGATTCACTTTGAGGAGACGTTGAGGTTTAATTACACTTGTATGTATGTGTTTATGCGCACTCGGAACGCCTCGACGCACCACAAACTGGGTCGCGCCCATAAACAAGTGAACTGTTCGAAAACATTATTATATCTCACTTTATTCCTTGTTATTTTAACAACTGTAGAGGAATTTAAATTTTTAAAGATGTAAGCGGATAGAGGAAATCCGGTGTACGCATTGTTAAACAGTTACCGAGACGTCATAACAACGCTCGCAACCGTAAAAATAGACTTCACAAAACGTAAACACAACAGAGTCGAGCGAAACACTCTCGTTATCATCGGAGTAAATATTAGACAAGTAAATCATTTGGCAACAATTTCCTCACGATCCGACGGAACGTAAGCGTAATTACCGACGTCGAAGCGTAAACAATCGCGGCCTCGAACTCGCTTGGAGTTTGCTCGACCGAGTCCATTTAGTCTTCGCAGTCAGTTAAAACGGCTGCGAGGTGCGCGTCGCTATCGGGGATCTCATTAAACTAAATGAGCGGGAGTTATCGAACTAACATCTCTGCTTCGAGTGAGCACGACGTGGGGACGAACATAAAATCACATGTTTCATTCTTACTGAGAATGGTCACGCGAGCGGTAACGACAGTTGGGGCGAACGTAGGCTTCTCAGAACTTGCCTGACCGAGCGAAAGAGTATTTCGTGTAACGTGTTTAGACATTGCATGCTTAATGCATATTAAACATAATGCTCATATATTGTTACAACTATGCGACAATAACTCTTTGCAAAGAGAAAGTATCACTAATCTTTTAACCGTCACTTTCATTGCTATCTTTCCTTACTGTGTGTTTTAGAATCAATGGTATGATCTACGTTTTGAAACCCCAGATTAGACTTGGCAAATTGTGTTGTAATAAAATAAAAGACAAAAGTCAACAAAAAGCCATGATTAGAAAATGAAAAGTTAAATTGAATGTTGAAATCTAAATACCAAAGGGATTTAGAGATGGAAACACTCACTTCTCGTGTAAATTAATGTGGCTGATACGTTATATTACAAATTTATGATATAAGGAATTTGAACGTATTTTATATCATATCATTTTAATTTTCTTCTTCAAACAAACGTTTAGTCTAAGGCTCTGTATATCCGAGTAAAAAGGATAACTTGAGTATGTCTATCTACTCGTCTGTCACAGCCAATGTTCCCTAAATATACTGAATAGAATATTTAATTATATGTATTAATGAGGTCACAAGAACCCCGCGTAAAATTATCTCGGCAAGTATAAACTTAATTCTAAGCGATTCTATAGGGGAGGGAGGGTATCTTATGGGTATTGTTCGCAACCCTTTTTCAGGTGTGTTTGACTCTTACTCGTACTTGACTTTTACGATTTTGTATTTAATTAGAAATATATAAAAAATACCTCAATCAAAGAAAATTGATAGCAAATAATATATTTAGAAAATGTTATATTGCCTACAAATATGTACATACACAATGGTAGTATCACACAATTGGCCATTACAGAAAATAATTCATAATAATGTTATTAAAAAAATAATTATTATAAAATATATTGCGTCTGCCTTGAATACGAGTACTAACATTTAGCTGCAATGTCAGCTTGTTTTGTACAAGTAGAATTTGCGGATGTTGTTGCCAAATCGAGCATCCGGTTTCGCGAAATCCGGCACTCTAGCTAGACAATCTCTTCTATTTAATAAACTTTTACTTTTTTGCTTGAAAATAAAAAGGACTACTGCAGATACAAATGACTTTGTAGCCTTTTTGTTTTTACTTTAACATAACCATAATTTCAACTGATTTATGATACATTAATGGCATACTGATGATCTTTGCAAAGTGCATTACAATGTCTAAAATGAAACGTCTACAAAAGAGGATTATAAGAGCTTGTAAATAATAATAATTAAAATAGATCAAACCAACCATCATGCCTTAATTTAATGTTACTGTTATTATTGACTGTTACTAGTTACGTTTTAATGTTTAGTATAGACTTCTCAGAGATATGTTGACCCGGATAACCCGCTATCATCATACCAAATTTCATCAAAATCTGTAAAGCTGTTTTCTCGTTATGCGTTCCCAGACAGACAAACTGATAGACAGACATACAAAAAGATTCGCTCTCTGTATCGATAATAATGATTATTTTAATAAGATTTTCCACAAAAATATTTAATGTACAGATTCGACTCAGTTACAATTATATGTATTGAAAGTAGAAACGTATTGATAACGTTGATTACACCAGGCAAAGGTATACATACAATACTGCATGATAAACAATAGAAAAAATATAGAAGACATAAACCTCTAACTTTCCACCCTACTACATCTCTAACATCTGACTTATTATAATTATTTTATATTTTTATATTATTTCCATTTTGCCTTTATACGGGATACCGATCCTAATAGGATTTCAGTCTAGAAATAATCTTTCGATAGACCAAGCAGTTTTCCAGGTAATCGGACTACTCACTATTTTAAATGTGAATGATTGTATGTGTGTCTATTCGTTACTCCTCGCTGAAACGACTATTACGTATTTGGATGAAATTTAATACACAGATGGGACTTACAGGCTACCCCGAGCGAAGCGTGGATAAGTCTCAAATAGATAAACAAAAACCATTTCAACTTCCCTTGTAAAATAAAATGTTGTGAGTAAATCTCTGAAGTTGCTAGTGATATACATATATAATTATCCAAATAATACTGAATACTTACTCTAAAAGGTGCCGGGAAGAGTGAGGAGGCGTCCGGCTCAGCCGCGTGAGCATTTGACATTTGGTGTGCACGTGCCTGCCGCTCGCGTTCGCGGTCGCGCTCGCGATCACGAGTGTCGCGCGGTTCGGCGCGGGGCTCGCGGGCGTCGCGCGGCTCACGGCCCGTCCACGCGCCGCCCGCACCGCCTCCCCCGCCCCGGTCCCACTTGTCGTACCTGGAACAAAATCGAAATCGTTATAACTAAACTACTATTATAAATGCTTAAGTGTGTGTCTGTATGTACGTACTGAAGTACAATATTCATCTAGGGAAACACCTTGAAAGCCCAGATTAAATAGATCCTGCTATATGTTACAACTGCAGGGGTGCAGGTAATCTGTAACTCAACAAGCGGCGATCACAATAGACCAGTCATGGTCGTATTGAAACTACATTCGCAATAAAAAATAAAAAATGTTTGTTACTCCTTCACACTAAACGGCACGGCTAAACATATTTATATGAAATTTTGTAAACATATAGACGATGATTTGGAATAACTCGAAGGCTATACTGTAAGGCATTTAGGAACGCACCAAGCGGAGCGAGAGTAAATCGCTAGTTGAGTATAAAAGTTAAACTACCACCAGTTTGGTAAGTAAATGCCTTATTAAAGAACAATTTGTTACCATAATTTTTTTATTTATTTTTTTTTTTTTTTTTTTTTTTTATTTATTTATTTATTTCAGGCAATATTTACATAGGGATCTTAAATATGTAAACAGCGGCCCATAGCATATATACCTTAAAACTAACATATAATATATTAATTATAAAAAACTTAAAAACTATTTAACACGTAGTGCAGACGTGTAAGCTGTGTCGGCGGGCATACGTCCTCGGAACTTCCGAAACACGACGCCCTGCGGCCAGAAGTCCTCCTTCATGAAGGTTGGCAGATGATGAGTCGGCACTCTCACCACAAACGAATTGAAACTCGTTTTGTGGCGAGGTACCAGCCGTTCAACCCTCAATTTGAAGTTGGACCTCTTCAGGACGTAGTCTACGACATCCTCGACCTTCGTAGACCAGTGCACTCGGGACACATACAGCGGCGTCGATGGTACGGCAGGACGCATCGGATGGTCTGGCTGGTTCGGAGCTGTGCCACAGATGTTACGGCATGAGGGCTTCTTTTTCTTCCTCTCCACTTTAGTGAAGCCCTCCTCGTCAGGTTGGATCTTCGTGGAACCCGTCGAAGGCACCTGTTTGGCAGCTGGTTTGCTCCGGCTCTTCTTTTTCCCTCCATTCGAGGGCCGCTTGTTTGGCGGGGCGGGTGTAGGGGCGGGGGCAGGCGCAGCTGCGGCTGCGGCTGCGGCGTATGCACGCGGCGGGGTCATGACCGCGCTCGCACTCGACGTCATCAGCGGGGCCGGGGATCGGGTGGCGGGCGTCACTGTGTCGCACGATTTACGCACCTCAGCAGTAATCGGAGGCGACGACAGACTGCTGATGGAGTCAATTTGTGCGCCGCGACGTGTGTTTATGTTAGTGACCTCCGGTGACCTACTTACAGAACCATTATTTTTGAACGATAATAATTCTGCGCGCAGCTCACTGATGGTGGATTCGGAAATCTCTAACCTAAACTGCACCTCTGCCAGGCCAGCTTTCAGGATGGTGATATCCTTGAGCAGCCTGGTAACGTCAACGTGGTCGAACGTGACGGGAGGCAGCTTGTTCAGCTGCTTCGCCACGAAGGCGGGCACGTCGTCAGGATCGGTTATCTTCAGGAGATTAATGATGTCCTGAAGACTTCTCTCCCTATATACATTTATATAATATGTGTATACATTATATAATATAGTGTACTCGATGATAAGCATTTCTTCTCCTTACATCAACAATATTCTTAGAATATTACTTCACAGATTTACTTAAATAGTTAATTAGATAATTTTATCTTGATAAAGGCAGAAAAAGCCTTTCAGACATAAATAGCCTTGCGAATAAACATTATGACCCTTCGATGAACTGTGTAAGTACCTATTACGTAGATTGATTTGCAAATCATTAATGACTTTAAAATATTGATTATACTTTTACATGTATACTTAATATAACGAAGTAAGAGTCCCATTAAACATACTAATTATCGACCATGGTTTTGCAAGCATGGTAGATATATCGAATTAAAAGGAGCTTATATGATAATCCTGTGTAAACTATTCCCATTCTGAATTTCATATAAATCAATAGAGTACGGCAAAAACAATATATTTACTTTATTATTACTACACACAAAGACAAACAAACAAACTTGAGTACAGTACAAGAGATACAAGACTTTAGTATGTTAATGAAAGTATTGTTTTAGTTTGTTTCACGTGACGCTTCCACTTCCTTTTAGTGGGTGGTCTTAGAAAATATCATAACCTATCCTAACGAACCGTTGCGCGTTGCCCGTATACGATACAACGTATAGTCACGCACCGCCAACGGCGTAGTAGTCGAAAAAGTAAGTCCCGTTAAAATTATTCGTAAATGTCTGTATCATGTCACGTGTATTGCTTGAGGGTTAACTGATAATTTATTAATGTTTTATTTATCAATCTATAAATTTTATCTAGTAAGTAAATTCGAGTTAATTAATGTTATTTAACTATTTATTTGTAAAAAATATTAGACTAACTTTTATCTTATAATATTAAATGAGGAATTCTTATATTAGTAGGTATACCTATTATATGTATTTTATTTTATCCCGGAAACGGCTCTGACGATTTGGATCAAATTTTGCGTTTTGAGTTTATCTTTATACATATATAGGTGTCTTTTCTGATAAAACGAATTTTTTATATCTTTTTCGAAAAACGTAGAGCGAAGCTAGGTCGCCCAGGTATGTACATAAAAAAGAAAGCCAATAAAAAACGTCACCTTGCTGTTTTCTCACTTAAAAGTGAAGAAACAGTAAAGTGGCACCAGCAAATAAGCTCTATATACAAAGCAAATCGTCATTATAACACGAAATTCGAGCGTATCAGACCAACGGAGTTCAATCTTGCGCTGACACCTCTATAGGTTAATGGATTAGCCGGATTTCGCAATAATTCCTACCATAGAACGAACCGCACACTGCATAGGTACGTGCTTGCATTGCCATATCAATCGTATCACACTATATATTACGATATACGATAACGAATTTAATATTCAGGGGAAATACCGTCTAACTTTCTGACCGCCTTAGATAAAATACAATATTTTAAAATCTCACTAATATAAGTGTTACTGCTATTTACTGAACATAAAAACACGAAAAAAGGACAGTACAAAATTATTGCACGTTTTCATGTATTAAATTTATATATTTAACACCTAATACGATGTAGGCAGTGGTAGCCCAGTGGTGACGCGGTCACTTGGGAAACCGAGTGAAGCGGGTTCTAATCCAGGTCTCGCGCCTCTAATATTTATATGTGCGAATCATTTCCAACATGATTACCACTTGTCTTACGGTGAAGGAAGACATCGAGAGGAAACCTGTATATCTGAGAGAACCTAGCAAGTTTTCGATAGACATGTGAAGTCAAAGCCATCCCGCACTTGCCCAGCGTGGTGGACTATGGCCTGATCCCTTCCGTATTGAAGGGAGGCCCGTGCCCAGCAGTGGAACGTTAGAAAAAAAGGGCTGAATACATATATACACAACACCTAATAGGCAAATGTACGGGTCTGCAAAAAATATATAAATATACATTATAGATACATTCATACGGTAAAGAAATTAATAAAACTCGATCAAAATTATCTATCAATCGACTGAGTTAGCTCTGCACAATAGTTATATTTCCCCTATATCGCTAAGATAAGAGAATGTATTAGTGAAATAGCTGTGGTGCAATGCTTTTAAACGAACACAGGATATGCAAATCAAACGTATCGATTATCGCCTTATTTACGCCCATACAGAGATGGCACCGTTTAGTTACGCTATCTCATGCTATTTGAGTAATGAGTACAGCACTCATCCTTTAACCAATAGTACAAGCTTTAGTTTGTGGCTTCGTACACAGACGTTTGAACTACGTTTTAATATGTTACACTATTATATTATAAACGTAAAATCTATTGGTTCGGGTTCCGTATCTCAAGAGGAAATAAGGTACCCTTATAGGATCACTTCGTTGTCCGTACTTCTGTGTCTGTTTTTTCGTTTGTATGGATAAATTCTATAATGAATAAAACGATTTTAAACATAACTTTATAATACACTATTCGTAGCTTAAGTAATTAAATATTTTTAACGACCTAGGTTTAGGGGAATGCAGCCGGGGCGGAAACTAATAACAAAAATTATACCAACTATACGCTTGTATACTTTCATTGCCTTTAATTTAAACGCGTCTATAGTAAGATATGAGGATTTTAGTTAAGCACAAACGCACGGAAAAACAAATAATAGTAAAAAATATTTTAGATACATACATGTTAAAAAATATTTTATATAAAAATGACTTTTTATTATATATTTACTAATTTAAAATTATGATAATATTTAAAGAATTCATTTTACTACACCATAATGAACTAAATCCATACATTTTTCACGCATACAAAACTTTTATTTAGAATGTAACATACAACAAATCTTGTTTTATATACGTTCAAATCAAACTAGATATTAGTTTAGTAGATTAAGCTGGATGAGCGGTGTACCTGTATTTAATTAACTTTGCTATCGTTGTTTCAAACACCTGTTCGTGTAACGCATTTGGAACAATTTGTTTAGTGTAATCACCGTTATTAAGTTTAGTTTAATCTATATATATAAAAGAAAGTCGTGTTAGTTACTTCGCTTATAACTCAAGAACGGCTGAACCGATTTAGCTGAAAATTGGCAGGGAGGTAGTTTAGAGCCAGGAGAAGGACATAGGATACTTTTTATCCCGTTCGACCGCGTTCAAATTTTTATGATATTTTAATTTTTGGATTTCTCTTAGTCCGGAATAGGTAAGTATTAAAACATATAATTAAAATGTGAGAAAGAAAGATTTTTTCTTTTTATATCTATTTAAAACGTACCTAGCGACGAACCCGAGCGAAGCGAGGGTGAGCCGCTAGTATTTCATATAAACGGGTGAGTGTAAATGTGTTTGAATGGATCAGTTATTATATGAAAATAAAACAAATTAAGATGATTTTAAACTAAACGCTGGATTTTAAAATGTTTTA